AGTTGATTCATAGTGTAATCAATTCAGATCTACACAGACTACCTGTTAGAATAATAAATTGTATACAAGCAGCATGACAAAATATCAGCATTTGTTTGAAGAAACTTTGATGAATGATTTCTAAACCAGCATTTTTCAAGTCATGCGTTTCATTTTTGTATTTTCATTTCACTTAATAATTTCACTTAATTTTAAATAACTTATTTATTATTTTAGGGTGAACAAGAAAGTAAAATATCTGAATAGAGTATTTGCTTTACATTGAATTTTTTAAATTGAGATTGAAATAAAATGACTACCATTTTGTAGACCTGTTCTTCCAGCAGTCCATATGAATAGACTATTGTTTGTGTGTCCAGCAGGAGACCCCACTGGAGTCTGAATAGGTGTACTTGTTAAACTGGATTTCCCATAAATTACTCAGTACTTTACAAGTAGTATACTGACCTAACTTGACTTTTTACATTTTATGCTACTTTATGCTTCCACCCCACTGCAGTGTTGAGGTTACAAGCCCCCCTATAGCATATTTCAGATGTCTGTGAGCAGCTGCACCAACAGAAAGAGTCTGTTAACCCTTTATAACAAGACTACAACATATAAATTGGGTGCATTATGAATTCCTGTAGCTCACCATAACAAATGATCGAGTCATTATGACTTCAAGTGTAATTGTAGTTCATTCATCAGTCAATGTGTTTCAAACACAAAGAGGTCAAAATCCAGTGTTTCACAAAAATAAATAGAGAAATTCAATTTTAAGGGTAAATTAAAAATATCTCTTCTTTCCTGTCTCATTAATCATACCATGATGCCTCAGGGGTTTTCTTAGGAGGCAAGACCCCTGGGTTAAACTAATTACGGCCTCAACCAACTACATGTGCCTACACTTTGTTTCAATGCCAGCATCTCCCCTATTTAGTGCCTGGAGCATGCAGTATTTCCTTTATATGTTTGGACAAGAAGTAAAAGTAAAAGTCTTAATCAATTGAACATACATACACAAAAATAGTCCATTACAAGTAACAGAGGTATGTCAGCAAAATGTACTTAGTTACTGTATTTCATAGTATTAGCTTGATTATACTTTATATGCCGTTTTAGTCCAGTGTGTCCCAGACTGGTCGTCGGGCCTCTGCTACACAAATCTGTTTTCATTTTTTGGACTCTTTATCTTTTGATATCGGATACATTTTGGGCCTTCAAACTGTTTAAACTATTTAAAGTAGAACCATTTGAAAAGTTTAGGGGGGGAAATGTCATTTTCACTGCTAACACACAGACAGCTGAAACATGAGAAAGGGCCCCTAAGAGAAACTGCTTTATTCTAAGTAGTCACAGGACACAAAAAGCTGGTTGGAACCAGCTGTTTGATCTGTAACAGTTCACTGGGTCATACAGTGTTTACAGTCTTCACAACCAGGTGACAGGTGACAGGTGGCAGGTCAGTGATGAGCAGCTGGTGGTACACCAAAATGTTCAGCTCTATGATAAGGTCTTTTTAAAGGACATTTAACATTGGAGTACTTCAGTGTAGCCGGTGCAAGCAAAAAAGCCAGGTGTTTTATTTAACTTTTACAACATTTTGTCACACATTTAACTTTACACATTCTGCAGAATAAAGTGCACATTAGATGTGTACACAAAACCTTTATTTTTAAATATAAAGCCCTGTCCCAGCCGCCACGATCCATTTTTATACAGTACCTAAACTAATGCCCAAGTACTTTGCACCAACAAGAGATTCTAGACAACCTCAAGGTGTATATTATTATTAAGCATTATTTGTTCCACTGTATTAATGTACATTTATTTATAGTATTATTATTAATTTTATAAAGACACATTTACTTCAATACTTGTATAGAGGAAGTGTCTTAATCATATATAGTAAAGCCTGATGTTTGCTTTTCGTTTAAGATTTTTTGTGAATAGATATTTATATGTGAAAACAAACCAATGTTGTTGTTAATTTTGTTGTGGTTGTCTTTTTCTAAATTCTTATCAGTTCACCTTTATAACCTTTGAGTGAGCGCTCTGCTCAGAGGGAACTGCAGCCACCACAGCTGGATTCTTTCCCAGCTTCATTCCTCATTTTGTTTAGTACATGAAGGATCTCAGACAGGACCTTGACTGTACTGTACCACTTTACTAATGTCACATGACATGACTTCTCAATTCAAACAGGTACTTTTTGCCGCCATTTGCAGCTACAACCACACAGGCTTTCCCATTTTTAACTCACTGTGGACCCGTCCAGCACCACAAGTCAAAGGCATAAAGACTAACTGATGAAAATAAACATGTCCTCTCCACCAGCCCGTTAGGAATACGAAACACGTTATTAAAAGGTCATCACACAGTCCTGTTGGCATCTAGTCCATTATTAATGAGCGCCCTTCTGCACCATCTGCGTGAAGCGGTTGGTGATGGTCAGGGTGGTGTCGATGAAACGCTCAACACAGCTCTGCAGGCAAGTCTCCGTCCGGTGGTCCAGCTTGGAGCCCGGGCTGTCCACACACTTGTCCCAGCAGACGTCAGTGAAAGTGTGCACCTGGAACAAATTAAGACGCTGATTAACAGCTAATGTGTGCAGTTCTGGTGATGCGTCATGGTGATGGCAGAAACAAACGTTTTAGACAACAGGCCTGATTATGGATGGATCAATTACCACTTGCCTTCTAGTGGTCACGGATTAGACCTAAAGCCCGACACTGGACTGTACAGCCCGATTCCAATATTGATTTGTGTGTTTTCAATATTTAAATGTGTAACAAAAACATATTGTGACTGCCAGTGCTTTTCATTTTTCTTAAATGTCTCCTTGCTTTCCTCTCTCGTGTCCTACGTGGGAGGGACTAAGAGAAGAGACAGAAGAAACACGTCGACGTCAGTGTGTGATGACAGCAACACAGCTCAGTGTGCCTTGGAGTTTGCATTTGAGACACTGGAGTTGAATCTGTTATGTGTGTATGAAACGCCTTGTTAAAAAAGTGAGTGAAATGTAGCAACCTCACAGTAACCTCCCACTTGTTTGTAACAAATGTGTGTGTGAAAGTGAACAACAAATAAGCACAGCTGTGAGAACAGCCTAAAGGACTGTACACATCTCTTTGGCTTTTTGTTCCTTACCTTCTGGTACGATATATCTAAGATATCTGAAATATGCAAATTATGTTGGTTTATTGCCCTTAAAGCTTAATTTGCAGAAACTGCTCCTGATGTTTTCATGTTATACCCTCAAGACATTGGCTTGAGTATGTGGTGGGTGGGCCAGTCTAACACAGAATCCTTAATGTTGCCTGGGATTTTCAGATGTCACCTCAAATATTACTTGTTTATGTTAGGTAAGAAGATCTTCACATGACTTTGTGCTACACATCTTGTGCTTGGGAATTCCACATTATGCCATTTTATGTTCTGTTTTTTCAGTCATGATACACACATGGGAAAAACTGAGGACAAAGACAAATCACGTGCAACAGTGATGTTTTAGACCTTTCCCGTTTAGTCTGCTCTGGGCACAACATGACAACTCCAGGAGATGTAAAGAAGCATCTGCACTATAAGATATAGTAAAAAAGGACCACCTAGTTTGCATTTTTATTTATTTTGGTCAAAAAGTAGTACATAATCATAAAGTTATTTTTTGTCTTTAGGTGAGGTGGGTCGACTTGTCCCCTGAATGGTTGTTCACTCTGGTTCTTCACACCGTGTTCTAACCGCACTGTATAAGAACCGGTCTGTGGTTCTGAACTCTTAGTGTCAGCACAGTCAGAACGCGGCTGGCTTCTCACGGAATGGCCCTGGGCAGTTTGGAGTGAAGCACAGGGGGCCCCTCCATGCGGCCTCACCGCTGGGATGAGTTACAGGTTAACATGGTTAGCGTACAAACCTGGGCCTGGAACTGCGCTTTCTGTTGCTCTATGGCGATCATACGCTGAAGCTCCGTCGCCTCGGCTTTGTCCGACGCGCTGAAATTGTCAAAGTTATCCATTGCGTTACTTAACAGTTAGAGGAACTGTGTATTCAAGTTGAAGAGGTGGCGACGTGAGGAGGTGACCTTCGGTTTCACCGCCGCTGAGCGCCGCAGCGTGCGAAACTCCGCTGATGTACAAAGCATGCGCAGCGCTGCACCAAAGCTGCACCCTGAGGCGGCGCACGCTCTGTCGTTTGGAAATCGGCCGGCTCCGTGTGACGCACGTGGTGACGCTGACAAAGATATTTCATGTTCAATCAGGCGCTGACTCAAAAGACGGAAGAAATTCCCTCAGTTTTTTTTATTTTGAATAACAGATGTATTCTGAATAAAAACACGCATACAAAGCATTTTGGTTCAGTGATAATATTTCATTACTTAGTCAACTTTTTAACCAACAAGTCTATATTAAACAATACATTTCATGTATAGCTGACTGTGCCAACAAAAAAAACTGCTAAACACAAGAAAACATTTGAGCTTCACAAGGTTTTTATTTGATTATTAATTTTTTTCTTTTAATGTATCATCCCTTGGTGTGTTTATGTGCAGACATTTTATACAAAGGTTATATTGTTGCACACTTGTGTATAGCCTACTTGATCTATCAGTTTCATTAGAGTGTACTAAAGGAAAGGAGTTGATTCAAGAGCGTTCGGTGCTCAGTATGTCAGACAAGACTATTTATGCAGTGGCTCTATTCGGGGTCCTTCATCTAATTAAAAATCTCCATTAATGATGACCAATATTTACGGTAAGAATGAATGAATACAGCAATTTGATTTACAAACAAATATGGCAAAATATAGCCTAAAGTTACTTAGCCTACATTCTGGTCATGTTAGCCTTGAAATCTCCAGGATTTAAATCGTGGAGCGTCTCTTTCTGCATGGGACAGCTGTACTATTGTGAGGTGAATGAAAGCGCTTGCTGATCTTCTCAAACAGCCAACATCTTTGTGCAGCGGACGGCTCAACAACCACATCCGGGTAACTGTGGTGACCTTGGTTGGTTGATCATCATGGCGGCTATCGTCAGGCTGAGTTCTGTTTGTCGTAGAGGAGTCAAACGTGGGTATTTCTGCCTCTCCTCAATGTTTCTGTGTATTTTCAATACATGTGTTTACTTTAGTGTAGCGGTTTGGTAGCAGGACGTTTAGACAGAAGGGAGGTCGATTATTAGCTTTGTACAAATCACGTCTGAGATAACTGTTAAAGGCAAACTTAAATAGTTACTGCTTTCAAGTTCACGACGTAAACTCCATCCTCTCTGTAGGTTTAATAGCGATGCTCACTGAGGGGGGAATTTGCAGTTTGCTTCCACGCTGACATCAGACTGTCAGACCATGACGTTACTGCTCGCACGTTAGAACCAGAGCTGTAACGTTACGCCAAACACTATTCAGAGATTTGAGAATTATTAGGTAACTTGCACATGGACAGAATTACACACCGGGTAAAACTTTACAACAGACATTTTCTGAGATGACAAGACTCGGTTTTTAATTCGGCAAATATAACACAACCCAAAGAGCACAGTAGCTCTTTCAGTTCAAGTTCTTGTTTAGGGTCAGGATGCTCGCCACCGCCCTCCTTCGACTGCTTGGGTCGATGGTTTCCAGCTGTAACACTGGCTGTGTGGAGAGCAGTTTCGTCATAGACTATATATAAAAAGGTTTTCGTTGAACCCTTTTATAAAGTTTATGTTTGAACCTTGCCCATGCATTGGTTTAAAGGAAAAAAACATTACCATCTAGTCGAAATGAAAATACCAGATGTAAATTATTTATCCTGTTACAAACACCAAAACAACAAAAAAGTGTTTTGACCCCATGTGACATAAATTTGATTTAATGCTGCTAGAGTTCCTGGTGTTGCTGAGGTAAAGAAATGTAAAATAAGAAGACAGAAAAAAAGACTGCCGATGTTCTTCTTTTAAAGCAAAATATGAGGAAACATTTTTTATCTTTTAAGATAAAATATTGCAAACAAGGTTGTGCTGTTCGTTGACTTGAGCTGTGCTAAACTGACATACTTTTTGTGTTTATTTTGTGGTTTACAGTTCATTCTAGGTCAGCTGAGGTTAAATTACATCATCTGTGCCCATCTGGGAACTTGACTTTTCGTCTTTTCTCTTCAGCTCTGTTCTACCAAAGCCCTTTGCTGGCCAGGCCGCTGGTTGTACCGCACAAACACCAGGACCAGCCCTACCTGCTGACTGCAAGGATTCATGCGTCACAGGCTCTGTACGGTCAGTGTTGACAAGAGAAAGTACGCAGTGGTACATACAGAGTATACAGCACAACACGAAAACCTCAATGTAGCCCCCTTTAGCAAACCAACTGCATGACATACCACAGCCAGCCAACACCTCTGACACATTTCCATCAGCAAGTAAAGTTATTAACTCCACTTTGTCCTGCTTTGACTGAGGTGAACTCCATTCTGCAAAATAGTGTAAATGAGATTTCATTAACCTGAGTAGTTCAGTCCAAGTATCATAGCACAATGCATGGTGTAATGATAGTGATCTGTTAAGATGGTCAAAGTCCAGCAGACTTTACTCTAGCTGCAGAGAATGTGCCAATATTAACACCAGTGGACAGGTAAGGCTGTCAGATTCGTGTCTAACGGGATCATTTTTGTTACATGTTCTTGATTAGTTTTTGCTTCCTGCTGTCAGTTTAATTGCTTTTACTGTGGAGTGCTTTGTGTACATACAGGTAGCTGTTTTCCGGCTTCACATGAAAGCTGGTGGCTGATCACCTTGGTCGAGTGTGAGACTGTGGTTTTGTGGTCAAGTTTTGATAACCTCAATGCGAGCAGGTTTCTCTTCACTGTGACCCACACTGATAACATCACCATCAAACTTTTATTTATTTATTTATTTTTCAAGATGGTCTAACCGGTTAGAATTTTATATTTCTCTTTTAATATTTGCTCAGGGGCCATTTCCCAAAATCTTTACCTTTTTTCTACCTTTAAAACTTTAAATGTGTATATGGATTGCAACTCTTGAGGGTTCCCCAGCCAGGTAAAGGCAAATCAGATTAAATATCCAGCTTTTTGTTTTTGCTGCTACCATGGCAATAATAAAGGCTGCTGTTTCTCTGGTTCTACAGCGGGCTCTGGCACCAAAGCCGCCTCTCTGCACTGGACAGCAGAGCGAGTGCTGAGCGTTGTGCTGCTGGCCATGGGACCCGTAGCCTATTTTAATCCCGGTCCTGCCATGGACTACTCCCTGGCTGCTGCCCTGACCCTGCATGGACACTGGTAAGACTAACCTGAACCCTGGTTGCATTACTTCTACGACGCATACGTACGTGTTCATACCCATACCACAGTTCCCAAACAGATAATTTCTCTCTCTCTCTGATGCTTTCCATGTCTTTTTTGTTGTACATTTAACATATTTAATCACCACCTCCTCCATCTCACCACTTTCAAATGACATAGTTTCACTTCCTGTTTACTTTGACATTGCACAACAAAAATCTGTCTGCAGGCTAATTCCTCTTCCTGGGCTCAAAATAAGGCTGAGGTGGCAGCGTCCTGATCACGTCCTGCACACCCATGTACTGTCCCCTCGACTGACTCGGCAAACATGTTTCACAAGAAACATATTTTAAGAGTTCTAATAATTACATTATTGAAGAAAATGACAATAATCACGTTGAAGCAAAAAACTAAAGGTGCCGTGTTTAACATTAAAACAGATTCAACGTGAAAGCTGATGTGTTCATTTATTAATTTATGTTAGTTCATCTGCAGCTTTCTGTAGTGTCGCAGTAATATTTGTTCTTGCTGAATCGTTACATCTCAGCAGTGTAAACGAGTACAGGACGGGACTCAGTTACATGTAGAGGCGCATAGAGCAGCATTTCCAAACGCTGCTGGTGATTTAAAACTATATTAAAACATGAAACGGCAGAGAAAAGCAGTTTAGTTTTCTGTGGCCCGCACTGTGGTCCAGCCAATCACACGATTATTTACTTCCTCTCTGGAAGTTTTGGCAGCGTATTTCCCACTGCCCATTGCGGTGATTATGAAACAGTGTCACCACATCAACAAAATTATGTAATTGCAGTAACAAATGACAGAATGTCTTTGCTAAAAAATAGTGTTTACCATAAAGACACGCATCAGAGGTTTTTATTTTATTTTTTTTGAGAGCTGGAGGTGGCCACCTTGTAATTCTCTATGCAGTAGAAACCTTCTCTTCCAGTGGTAGTTCTTATAAAATGCTCTATATCAGGGGTTTTCCTCAATTCCTGGATGCCTATGGGATCATGATTATATTATTTGATCCCATAGACACTCAACATTTGAGCCAAAATAGCCTAATATTACTGTTTGACATAACTTCTGTCTACACCAAATACTTTTAAAAAAAGGTTTGAGTAGCACACAGACTTCACTTACCCTGGGAAAATGCAAATGCAAATTCCTTCATCACGAGGTCCACAGGGAGTTGTAGTCCAGTGCATTAATTTGATTTTTTTAGGTCAAATGCAGTGATCCTCTCCTCCTTGGGGGGGAATCCAGCCATCTTGCTGTAGCTGTCAGCAGCTGTTAATTCAGGCCTGGGTAGTTCCGGCTCTGTTTGCAGACTTGAGAGGGTGGCTTTAGCTTAGCGTCGCATCGATGTGTTCTTCCATCAGTTAGTACGCAGACTAAATGGCATGGCAGATGTAGGCCACAAATCCCGGTCATGAGTAGCGATAAGTCTTCTTAAGTAACAGCTTTTGAGGTAGGTGCATATCTCAAAGGGTTAAGCCATGTCCTCTCTGACCAGTTCGACAAAGTCTCCGATGTCATTTGGCAGCATCATCGCCATCAGATGAAGCATGAGGTCCTGAGCTTCCTCTTTTCAGCTGGCACTGGGGATAAGAATAGTCTGTGCCTAATTGGATTTTATACCACTAAGGAATGTTGGAACTGAGTGCCAACCTGATGAACATGGCTTCATTAATACACTTTTAAATTAAGGTGGTTAATTAATTTATTAAAGATAAACAGTTTGTTGTGATTGAATTACAACAAACAAATCAAAAGGATGCTGAAATAACTATGATGATGCCGATTTGTAAAATGAGTTCATGCTTTGTCAGGTATGTTAAGACGACAAGCTAGCACCTTTTAAAGTGCTTGTTTTCTGAATGGAGTTTGGATCCATCAGGGCTATGCTAACTTGTTTTATAATAAATGCTGGACACTGCATCCCTGTATGGTGTCCTTGAGTGCCGAGAAAGGCGCCTTAAATAAAATGTATTATTATTACTGATCAACAGACACGTTTTAAGAACTTGCAGGTAGTACAACTTCCTGCAAGTTTCTGCACGAAACATAACAGCTGGTGGAATTTTGAAGATTACGCTGTTGAGAGAACTGATTTTAAAATCTGCATCTTAAATCAATTCACTTTGCATTATTTTGGTAACTATGGAACAGTGTTTTGTCTTGCAGCTAAAGCCTAGTTCACACTACACGACTTTTAGCCTGATTTGCATTATGTGTGAACTACTCAACGACGCTTCACATTGGCTTCCTGACACATTTCTGACACATCGCCGACATCTGCCAGATATCTAGTACGCCAAATATCTGGAAGAGTCGGCTGACTCGACATCCACATCCAGCCAATGAGAGCAGGCAGCTACAGGTGCTGGTCATATAATTAGAATATCATCAAAAAGTTGATTTATTTCAGTAATTCCACTCAAAGTGAAACTTGTATAATGTATACATTCATTCCACACAGACTGATATATTTCAAGTGTTCATTCCTTTTAATTTTGATGATTTTGACAACTAATGACAACCCCAAAATCAGAATCTCAGAAAATTAGAATATTGTGAAAAGGTTCAATATTGAAGACACCTGGTGCCACACTCTAATCAGCTAATTATCTCAAAACACCTGCAAAGGCCTTTAAATGGTCTCTCAGTCTAGTTCTGTAGGCTACACAATCATGGGGAAAACTGAATGGGGAGATACACAAAGAGTGGACTGCAGTGCTTCAAGAACCACCACGCACAGACGTATGCAAGACATGGGTTTCAGCTGTCGCATTCCCTTTGGAAATCAAGGTCCCAGAGTCTGGAGGAAGAGAGGAGAGGCACAGGATCCACGTTGCTTGAAGTCCAGTGTAAAGTTTCCACAATCAGTGATGGTTTGGGGTGCCATGTCATCTGCTGGTGTTGGTCCACTGTGTTTTCTGAGGTCCAAGGTCAACGCAGCCGTCTACCAGGAAGTTTTAGAGCACTTCATGCTTCCTGCTGCTGACCAACTTTATGGAGATGCAGATTTCATTTTCCAACAGGACTTGGCACCTGCACACAGTGCCAAAGCTACCAGTACCTGGTTTAAGGACCATGGTATCCCTGTTCTTAATTGGCCAGCAAACTCGCCTGACCTTAACCCTATAGAAAATCTATGGGGTATTGCGAAGAGGAAGATGCGATACGCCAGACCCAACAATGCAGAAGAGCTGAAGGCCACTATCAGAGCAACCTGGGCTCTCACAACACCTGAGCAGTGCCACAGACTGATGGACTCCATGCCACGCCGCATTGCTGCAGTAATTCAGGCAAAAGGAGCCCCAACTAAGCATTGAGTGCTGTACATGCTCATACTTTTCATGTTCATACTTTTCAGTTGGCCAACATTTCTAAAAATCCTTCTTTTGTATTGGTCTTAAGTAATATTCTAATTTTCAGAGATAAAATTAGAATATGAGAGAGAGATTTTGGGATTTTCATTAGTTGTTTTAATCATCATAATTAAATTAAATAAACATTTTGAAATATATCAGTCTGTGTGGAATGAATGAATGAATATAATATCCAAGTTTCACTTTTTGAATAGAATTACTGAAATAAATCAACCTTTTTCAAATTTTATGACTAGCACCTGTACTTTTTTTCACCACGAAACACTTTTTACTCCCCTCCACTTCTGTCTGTAGCTCAGACAATCCCTGCTACCTGCGTGTGCTAATCCATAAAGATAGCAATTATAAATTGCTATCTTTTATAATTACAAACAACAGCTGTTTCATGTGCAGGTTTGCAACATTTCCTGTTTCCTGTGTGTGTCCTTGACAAAACGTGGTTTGGAGACCAGCGTCAGGTGACACAGCCGCTGTCAGCTCGTGTAGCGTGTGACCCCCTGTCACCGATCAGACACGTAGTGTGAACGGCACGACTTCAAGACTCCCGTCACAAGATAGCAAGTTGTGTAGTGTGAACAGCACGGCCATCGGCCGACGCTGTAAGTCGTGTAGTCTGCATGACCCTTAAAGAAAACCAAAGCATTCACTCTGCATTACACCTCTGACTGGCTTCTGGCAGCTGAGATTTATGGGTATTCTTGTATTTGGAGCCATCGGCAATGCCAAACAAATCTGAAACAATTAAAGCTGGTGGTCATAACATAAACCTGCGATCGTAACATTATCTGGGAAAGTCTCGTGTTTTTGTGTTACGTAACATGGAGGAGGATATTAAATGGCGGAAAAATTTGAAATGGGAGGACAAGGGGTAAAATCCTCCCGGAACAGAGGCCTCTCCCTCTTAGCAGCTCTTTTTAACTCCCAAAGCTGACAATATAACACTTACGGCCACTTCATGCACAGGTTGTCCAGGTGTGTGGGGTGTGTAGGTTTGTGACTTTTCAAACGGCTACAAACACTTTGCCTTGGTTGCGCAACATAGTGTGAGCTAGTTCATACATGAAGCATACTTTCATACATACATACTTCACTCGAACCACTGACTGCTCACCTCATCTGCATACATTTCTCTGTTGTAGGGGTCTCGGGCAGGTGTTAACGGACTACGTTCACGGAGACACAAAGATCAAGATTGCCAACGCAGGTCTGTTCCTCCTGTCCACGGTCACCTTCGCTGGTCTTTGCTACTTCAACTACAACGACGTGGGCATCTGCAAAGCCATTGCCCTGCTCTGGAGCAAATGAATAGAACTGTGGACTGGGACACTGGGACGGGAGCAATCTCGCCCTGGCTGATTTGTAAAAATTCAAAGTGTTCTATGTAAATTCTTATAAATATATCATTTTGACATTATTACAGTGATTCACAAGTGTGGAACCCTAATTCATCTCGATCAGTTTGAGCCTGGTCTCTGTGATAAGTTCTTGCTCAGTTTAGGTTCAGTGAGGATTGTGCAGCTGACATCCGTTTCCTCTTTGAATGTGTAGGAGGATTCTGATTATGTTGATTAAATTTAAACCAAGTTCCCCTGTAGATTTTGAAACATGTTGACTTATTTAAAGTTCTACTAATGAGAGAGATCCAGTTTCCTGACATGTTATCAGTATATATGGGGACATAGATGTTTTCAACGGAACACCTGACCTCTATCAGATCTTACAGAAAAGTGCTGTTTGACATTTTAGTTTTTAATGGTCCTTTTTCTGGCGGCTTTCCTAAATGTATTTTGTTTCGCTCACAATGTGTACATACTACCATCAGGAATAACAGGGCAGCACTACAGATCTGAGCAGTGTTCGTATAAGAGCCGTCATCACCTTCAGACTAACCCCTGCTTACAAATGATTCACAAAGACTTGGCCGCCCGGGAGCAAATGTTGTTTCCAACTTAAAGTCAGAGGTTGTGGTGTGAAACCCCTACTGTTGTCCTGTTTAATCCAGGAGGGGCTCGGCTCTGCTGCTCAGTAGAAGGTAAAGGAGGCTAGATCTGAAGTGCATCATGAATTCAAGCCATACATGAATCCTGAAACTACAATGTGCATCAGCGCAATGGCTACTGAAGTCTAGCAGCGTACAAACTCTTGTCACTCTTGTAACCGTGTATACTCCAGCGCAGGGTTTGAAATGAACAGCTGCAAAATGCCGTCCTCTGCCAAAGAAATATCACTCCAGACAGTAATGGTGATAATAATATGAATGCCTCTAACATATTGAGTCGTGTTGGACTTCATGTATGAATTAAACTCTTTCCACTGTAAGTGAGCAAATGGCTAATTTAAAAAAAAAAGACATTTTGAAAATATGAAAAATGTGCAGTTAGTGTGAACATTTAAAAATTCTACAATCTCTTGGCAAAGAAGGCAAAAACTTACCTGTTCCTAAATCAATATGAGCCTGTATCATAAGATAAGATGGCTGGCTAATGAAAACTTGCTGTTATCACGTAATGTTGGCACATTTACTCACAGCACGGAATTGGTACACACAGTCCTTGTGTGCTATAAATACCAGCAATCCTACCAATTCTTTTTGTACTGCTGGAATGTGTTGTGCTTTCAGTCTGTTGTCACAATGCTCATACAGTGAATGTTTACGAGAGCTTACAGGTTTGGTGTTGGTCCGTTTGCTTCTATCAGCAGTTATCAATTTGTAATATGTGTTCACTTTATTTTTTGTGATTACACGCACATAATGACATGTGGCAAGAAAAATCACTGTTCCTGCCTCAGCAGAATAAAGTTGGCTTTAAGGATTCTTTCATATTTTGACATTTTATTACATAACAAAAACAATGTGTACAATGACAGAAGAGTACAAAAGGTATATAATGTATAAAAAGCTTAAAAAAGTCACTTATTTTACAAATTGAATGTGTGAAAATTGTGATCCCTACCCCCAAAAGGTAGTCATTTTTGAAAACCCCTTAGTTTTCATAATAACAAAACTTGACATGATACAGTATCTCTGGGGAAAATGACATGAAACGAAAATAGACTTTTGAAAAAGATATCCAATTAAGGTCAGAATTATGGAAACAAATTATAATTGAGTTTTAACAATGCCTTCAATTTGCTAAACTTCGTGCAAGCTCTCATTTCAGCCTCTCTCTTAAACAAGCAGTAGATGCTCCTGTCTCTTCTGCGAGACAGAGAGACAATAGTGGACAATAAGACTGTGAGACTGACTGTGAGACAGAGAGACAGGAGGACAATAAGACTGTGAGACTGACTGTGAGACAGAGACAGGTGGACTATAAGACTGTGACACCGTGAGACACAGAGACCCAACTGTTTCCAATGAAGAGAACAGTGTGTGTGTGTGTGTCTCTCTCTCTGTGTGTTAGTTGTAGTACCAGGTAGTAGTAGTAGTAATTAGTGCAGTAGTAGTGGTTGTAGTAGCAGATGCAGTACTCTGGATGTAGTACACTTAACTTCATGCAAGAAATAGCTTAACGTCTGTCCACCAATCGGAACACAGGACCAAGTGTGTGTGTGTGTGTGTGTGTGTGTGTGTGTGTGTGTGTGAGAGAGAGAGAGAGAGAGAGAGAGAGAGAGAGAGAGAGAGAGAGAGAGAGAGAGAGAGAGAGAGAGAGAGAAAATGTGTGTGTGTGCATGTGTGTCTCCCTTTGATCTTTCTCTGCTCATTAACATCACCTGGGCAACCAGCTATCCTATATAGACAGATAGGAAACTCTCTCTGAGACTTTGCCTCAAACAAACCACCTCAGAGACTAAAGTATAGGTCGTATCGACGAAATGACTTGACCGGAAGCGGCAGAAGGCATTTGTGAACAATATGAATTGAAAAAAGTGACCACTTTGGCAGGTTAAAAGGCTGGTACGTTCTTCTCTGATCAAGAAAATTTGAGGAGAACTTGGCAGCCAATAGAGAATTTCACTCTTGTCCTTTGGAAGGACACAGAGACAAATCTATAACTCTGAGGGATTTAAAAAGCCCATGTGAGGAACTAAAACAAAATTTACTACGTTTCTGGTGTAAAATTATGCATGAAGAGTTAAAATTGTGGTCAAGCCAGCGACTTAAAAAGAAAAATCTAAGAAGATTTTGCGAGCCTGCTACACTGTAGTGATGATGTCACCCACTCTAACTCACGCAATACACACCCATTATAAACTCAGAAAAGAGCTCAAAAAAGCATAAAACTTCGACAGCGACCGTGAACAAACCATAAAACATATCAAAAAGCTGAATGCATCATTAATAGATTAACTTCTTGTGACCAATTTACAGTTTAAATCAAGTCTGTAGCTGAAAGTATGCTGAACTGGTGAGCTTTCAAAGTGGAGTAATAATATAATAATCCTTATTTGTAGAGCACTTTTCAAAAACAAGTTACAAAGTGCTTTAACAAGTGTAAAGAATAATACAAAAAAAGATAAGAGCATGAAAATTTCATATAAAATTACTAAAATACAATAAAATAAAAGGGATAAAATAAAGTCAAATAAGATCGGGAAAAGCTCTCCTATAAAAGTATGTTTTAAGAAGGGACTTAAAAGAGTTCACTGACTCAGCCGACCTGATTTCCTCGGGCAGGCGGCAGAGTAGGTATGAGGAGGATTTTGACAGTCTCTCCATTCACTTACAATGGGAGAATTTTCCTGGAAAACCTTGAATAATTTGGAAAGTATTCAAGGTGTCAATGACAAAAGTAATAGCACCCCATTCCTCATTGAGCTGGACAACTTGAGTTTGAACAGAGTTTCTACGTCAAAAGCTGTGGGACTAGTTAGCGCACGAAAAAACGTAACTGAACAATAATAATAATAAAGGTTAGTGTAGTGAAGATACTCACTTTATCTTTATTTTTGTTCACTTCCTTTATATCACTGCTCCCACTTCCACCTTTCATTTCTCCTAATTGAGTTGATTGAGTTCATCTGTTCACACTATTTAAGGACTGCACTCCCTTTCTCTCACTCTTTCACTTCCACATCGGGCAGCAGTTCTGGTAAGAAGTTTAATTTACTCTTTAGTTTGATCCTATGTTTATGAAAACTTAGTTTAGATGTCTGTCTCCTTATTTCCTTGAAATGGACATGTGAGTTTAGTTTCTAATCTTATGTTTGCTTTCTTTCAGATCGATCAACTCGTGTGTCTTTCTCTTCCCTCATTATGTTGACAAATGCCTCATCTGAATTGGAAGAAATAAAAGGTGGAAGTGGGAGCCAATCAGTGATAAGAACAGGAACTAAAAGAAGTGAGGTGAAGGAAGTGAACAAAAATAAAGTGAGTATCTTCACTACAGTTAGCAACAACATAGGATGCGAATGCTTGCAGCATTCACACCCAAATAGACTTGCTAAACTCATCAGTCATCCTAGTTGGGTTTTAGTGATCCTCCTCACTGTGTGAGTGGTACCCCACAAGTCTTGTCTTTGTGAAACTGCATGTACGGGAAACCCCCAGAAACTTTGCAGCCAGCAGTACTGCAGGCTGTCCATTTAGCAATTAATCCTTACAGACAAATGGTATGTTGGGATGCATTACAATCAGAAAGAGAAACCTCGCAACTCTCATCTACTTGATCCACTTTGTGACGCAGGACCAGCTTGTTAAGAGAGGGATTCGACTCTATAGGCTCAAATCCCAGGAATTTAGACGGGTACAAAGATGACTCAAACATAAACTTGTTTGTTTGTCCAGTGAGAGGTATCAGGTAGAACAAAGCCTTGTGTGCAGTTTCCTCAATTTTGTCTGGAAGCTCCTGTATAAAAAAACACATGGCAAACCTGATTTAATTGTCTGCTCCGACACATCGCTGCAAAGTCAAAAGAATGAAGAGCCTAAGCAGCATAGGATGAACCTTAGCATAAATGGTTATCACAAGAAATGAATGAATTATTTGCACATGCAGATGAATCTTTTATTATCCTATAATTCATTGCATGTTAATCCCTTCATTCAGTCACGTGATATGGTGTGATGCCAACTAGGTATCTGACAAAACTTCAGGCTGCAACAGAATACGTTTGACATTCTACAGAAGTGGTTTTCAAACTGTGGGGGAGTGGAAGAAGAGGCACTGAGGCAGAAAAGTGAGGAAACCGTGATACTGGCTGAGGTGAAAAGGGAATGGTGGTGTTATAAAAACAGGAATTATTGCAGCTTATACAGGTGCCGGTCATATAATTAGAATATCATCAAATAGTTTATTCATTTCAGTAATTCCACTCAAAGTGAAACTTGTATAATGTATACATTCATTCCACACAGACTGATATATTTCAAGTGTTTATTCCTTTTAATTTTGATGATTATAACTTCCAACTAATGGAAACCCCAAAATCAGATCTCTAAAAATTAGAATATTGTGAAAAGGTTCAATATTGAAGACACCTGGTGCCACACTCTAATCAGCTAATTAACTCAAAACACCTGCAAAGGCCTTTAAATGGTCTCTCAGTCTAGTTCTGTAGGCTACACAATCATGGGGAAGACTGCTGACTTCACAGCTGTCCAAAAGACGACCATTGACAACTTGCACAAGGAGGGCAAGACTCAAAAGGTCATTGCTAAAGAGGCTGGCTGTTCACAGAGCTCTGTGTCCAAGCACATTAATAGAGAGGCGAAGGGAAGGAAAAGATGTGGTAGAAAAAAGTGTACAAGCAATAGGGATAACCGTACGATGGAGAGGATTGTGAAACAAAACCCATTCAAAAATGTGGGGGAGATTCACAAAGAGTGGACTGCAGCTGGAGTCAGTGCTTCAAGAACCACCACGCACAGACGTATGCAAGACATGGGTTTCAGCTGTCGCATTCATTGTGTCAAGCCACTCTTGAACAAGACACAGCGTCAGAAGCGTCTCGCCTGGGCTAAAGACAAAAAGGACTGGACTGCTGCTGAGTGCTCCAAAGTTATGTTCTCTGATGAAAGTAAATTTTGCATTTCCTTTGGAAATCAAGGTCCCAGAGTCTGGAGGAAGAGAGGAGAGGCACAGGATCCACGTTGCTTGAAGTCCAGTGTAAAGTTTCCACAATCAGTGATGGTTTGGGGTGCCATGTCATCTGCTGGTGTTGGTCCACTGTGTTTTCTGAGGTCCAAGGTCAACACAGCCGTCTACCAAGAAGTTTTAGAGTACTTCATGCTTCCTGCTGCTGACCAACTTTATGGAGATGCAGATTTCATTTTCCAACAGGACTTGGCACCTGCACACAGTGCCAAAGCTACCAGTACCTGGTTTAAGGACCATGGTATCCCTGTTCTTAATTGGCCAGCAAACTGGCCTGACCTTAACCCTATAGAAAATCTATGGGGTATTGTGAAGAGGAAGATGCGATACGCCAGACCCAACAATGCAGAAGAGCTGAAGGCCACTATCAGAGCAACCCGGGCTCTCACAACACCTGAGCAGTGCCACAGACTGATGGACTCCATGCCACGCCGCATTGCTGCAGTAATTCAGGCAAAAGGAGCCCCAACTAAGTATTGAGTGCTGTACATGCTCATACTTTTCATGTTCATACTTTTCAGTTGGCCAACATTTCTAAAAATCCTTTTTTTTGTATTGGTCTTAAGTAATATTCTAATTTTCAGAGATCCTGGATTTTCATTGTCAGTTTTAATTGTCATAATTAAATGAAATAAACATTTGAAATATATCAGTCTGTGTGGAATGAATAAATATAATATCCAAGTTTCACTTTTTGAATGGAATTACTGAAATAAATCAACTTTTTGATGATATTCTAATTATATGACCAGCGTGTGTGTGTGTGTGTCTGTGTGTGTGTGCGCACACGTGTATATTACACTCACCATTGCCTCAGGATCAATTTCATGCTTCTCGCTGCAGCATGCCACCATCTTCTTGCCATCAATAACAGCATACAGCATGACTGCCCTCTTATTACTTTGGTCCATGTTGCTGTTATTGTATCTGCGGATGTTGAATTGACACTCTAAAAAAGAAAGACAGGATAAGCAACAGGGGGACATGAGCAGCACGTCACAGCCTGATGGAGAAACATTGCAAAATGTGACAATGACTGATTGATTTGCTCAAAAGTTTGCCAGGGTCTATGATCAATAACTTTGATACAACAACGAAAATTATAAGAGCATTTAGAGTTTCCAGTGTAGACGCAGATGTTGAGATCACATCATCGCAGTGGAATACGGTGAGGGTTAAGTTAGCTCCAAAATACTGTAACGTTAGTTGATGACACTCGTTACTGCAAGTATGTGCAATAAAACCTTTGCAAGTAAAAATACTTTATGAATACACCTGTCTGTAAGGTAACGTTAAACATGTAGAAATGGTGTCTATGAAGATTCTCAGTCATCCAGGTCATAGTTATCCAACGGAGGTTAAAATCAAGGGCAACTGGACTTGTTAATGAAAATGGAAACCCACATGTAAAGGCTAAATCAGGCATGTGATTGGCAAAGGGCAAAAAAGCAAGAAAATATACTGAGACCAACCGACACCCCGATTAAACTGGCGGGCGCTCTAAAATGAAGGTAAAGCAGGACCCATGACAATAAGTTATTTAATGGATGTGTTGCAGTGGGAATCAAAGAGGGGGGGTCTAATCCACTGCACCATCGCAACCTCTCTATAATAATAATTATTTTGTATTCATTTTTACCAAACTTCAACAGCTAAATGTGAAACAACTGAGTCTATAACTAAACAATGTAACTACTAACTTTCAAATTAGTTCAGTTGAAGTTAATAGATGACTTTTAATGAATAAGAGACAGCAGCAAAGGTTGTTCCCTGTTTAAGACCTGGTGGCCTGACTGGTAAAGAAACACTTCTATTCTTCAGGAAACTCAAACAGTTGATCAGTCTCTCTGTTGATAAATTGTAGGAAAAAGTTTGACATTTCAACTCTGGCAGCGGGCGGCGTGTGCGTGAGACGAGAACGACCGCGACAGTTTAACGAGATCGCGCCAGTCACACAGAAGCCGTTGCCCTGGTTACCACGTTGAGCGCTTGTTTGCCTGTCTGTTGAAGAGGAACGCGGAGCGACCCATGTGAAAAGGCCTTATAGAGCCTAAACCCTGTCACAACCATTCACAAGAAATGATTTAATAACGTGCCAAAACCTTTAATAAAAGGACGACTTAAAAAGCACCCATTCACACAGCAAAGTGTAAATATAGGCTACATGAGTGATCAATAGACAACAAAGTCAAAGTAAACATTAGACATAGCCTCTAACAAGCAATAATGAAAACATTCCCAATTTATCTGATCCTTACTGTCAACTCAGTGTTGGGCAAGTTACTCAGAAATAACATTACCTACTAGTTACTTAGCATAGGCTATAGATCTACTCCTTAAAAAAGTAATATTAGCTACTCTACTTAGGCCCACTACTGGGTGACAGCCTGATATAACGCCACTCTCTCCCGATGAGTCCAAGCATCACTGGCAGCAGCGGCCGGAGTTTCTCTCTGAGTTTCACGTTGCTGTGCTGCTTTAGCTGATGCTTCAATTAGCCTAAGTATAAATGTAGAACTGTTCGCGGTTGAAAACTTTTTGCTGGTTTACAACGGACGACAATGTTCTTTGCATCTTAGACTGTGACACAGTAATGGCCATGAAGTTACTTACAGCTTTCGAAAATACCTCTCTCTCCCTGTTCTCCAGTTGTCCTTTAGCTTCTTGGCTAACAGCTGACTTTAACAACATAAGGTCCGGTGCCGCTGAGCTGCAGCGCGGTCGCGTATTCACGTCAGGGATGGTGCGTTCAGTAGCGCACCGTTACTTGGATTAGTAAGTGTAATTATACTGTACAACTGTTTTGGAAATAGTACTCCGTTACATTACTCTTTACTGGGAAAAGTAATTACGCAGTAGGCCTATTACTGCCCAAAACGTTACGTACCACTGATGCGCGAGAGCGCCTGTGGTACACACTGCGCAGGTGTGGAATTGGCAGTTGAGCGTAAACGAACATCCTTGATACTTAAGAAAGGAAGAAAACTTTACACACGTCAACCTAGATCCTTTCCATTTCACTCGGCCAGGTCCTGTACCGCAGATCTGCATGATTCTCGTGCATCACATTTTCAGGTCGGAAAAATCACAACCCTGCTAAATGTTGCTGTATTAGGCTGCATCTTACCAGGATGTGTTTGCTGACTTTTAGTTAGGTTTTCGGCTTGAAATTTACTGTCATCATTTAAAAGCAGGCATTTGTTGTCCTTGCTTCGGATCAAATGTTTACAGTGCTTATTGGAAAGCTGGTAAGTGTCCTCATCCCAATCTGCATTTTAGAGAAAAACATGTTATAACACCAGAAACATCATGCACGCTATCACCACTTGTGTATTCTACTATAAATAAATAAAGGGGGGAAAGCATGAAACTGCATCACTGTGCCACAAATGTACTGTATTTTATTTTTAATCAGAAGCATAAGGATTGTGTTACCTGTTTCAGCATCTTTGAATAAGGAGCAGTGGACAGTAAAAGAGAAGATTTAGAGAGAGTTATATACAAAAATTCAAAAAAGAATAGGGGTTATGTTATATTATTTATAATAAATACAATATACAGTATATTATACCATATGGTAGTTGCATCTAATTTACCTATTGAGAATGAATAAAACATAAAATCACTTTTACCTTCGAAGTAAAAGGAGTTCTCACTCATATTGACAAATTTAGTAGGGATGCAGCCGTCGGCAGCCATCAGGAAGACCTGGGGAAAAAACTGTTTCTGATTATAGAATACAGATTCAGATTCCTTCATTGTCATTGCACAGAGTACAACAAAATTGAATACGATCCCGAAGGATTGACGACAAAGTCAAAAATATAGGTTCTGTATATAGAAATATAGAATATATAAAGAAATAATATAAATATAAACATTTTAATTTAGCAAATAACTAAATCTGTAAAAACAGTAGGCCTACACAGTGTCTTTTTTTATGTTGCCCATGGTGTCAATTATACAATTCTTCACATAATCTTCTTCGAGTGTTGTTCCAACACAATCCCCCAGAACCGCTTCAGTGCTTGGCAGTAATTCTCTGTGTGTGGAACTCTCCTGGAGTGATTTCTTCCTTCCCGAAACACATTCCCCCAATTGTAAGTAAATGATAGTGGTGGATAGCAAATTAACACGTTGTCACTCCAGAGTCTCCCATAGCTGTTCAAGTGGGCTGAGATCTGGGCCGGTTTACATAACAGATGGAACGTTTTATGTACGCCTGTAGGACACACCTGTTTCAGTCTGTACAGTCGCAACAGGGTTCACACACACACACACACACACACACACACACGTGACCTCGTGATCAAGGCCAGTTCATAAAAAGCAAAACCTGTCCCAACAAATGTACAGATAAGAGTAATGGATGCCAGACATTCCAAGAAAAAAATACATGGGGATAACACAGAAAAGAAAAGTGTTGCAACTAATAGACATCCAGTATTACATCCATTATAATACCATATAATGCACCACTGTTCCATTCTAATAAGTCCGTAACACTAAACGATATTTCCAAAATCAGTGATGATACGTTCACGACCAGCGTTGCACGTCACAACAAACACTTTTGTTGTTTATCGCTGAATAAGATTGCTAAACCACGGCTTGTGGCATAACGTTGTTTTTATGTAATATACTGAGCAGCCTGCTGTTCAGGTCGACCTTGTAAATGTTTCTAAATGTTTGATCGACTGTAGGCTACTTTTCGTCTAAATGTACAAACGTGAAAGGGTTTGACCGTGTTCAAAAGACCGACTTCACGCCCTGGCCTGTGGCTGTGAAGTGGCGAAACGTGTCGACATCAGTCTCCGGTCCAAACAATGCAGGCTATCCATCAGAAACAGACACAACACTAACTTTTGTCCGTAACAGTTAGAAAACAGTTCTACCCGGTGGCTAACTTAGACATACCTTCAGAGATGCGGTGGACAGTTCCGGGGGGGGTCTCTCTCCTCAGACGGGACGTTCACACTCTCCACTCACTTAACGAGGGCGACAGACAGGATGATTAATAACAGCCCAAAATGAAATAAAAACTCTCTGCTAGCGCCTTCAAACTGACTGTCTAACTATTGTGAATCAGTTTAACATGGTTGTCATTGCAGAACTATGTCAGAAAATAGAAAATCTATTGTCGCAAGTTACCTCGCTGCCTGACTCGCCCCTCGCTGATGCTCCTCGGACAGACTGAAAAAACCCTCACGCGATGTCTTTTTGTGAAAGAACGAGACAGGCGCGCGCTTCCCGTTCTGGCTCTAGACGGAAGTGAAAATTTAAAAAGAAAACGCTATTACTGAACCAAAATGCTATTCCTGTTTCATTTTCTCTGAAATAAATGTAGAAATGTCGTGTATTAATAGTTATAAACCCTGGTATGCATATTTTACTCGCACTGCTTAAAGTAGCCTAGTAAGTAATGTATTGAGTTGTGTGTTTTAGTTTTGTTATCTATACTGTGTTGCATCGAACAAAGTTGTATAATTTATTGAGTTAAAAAAGACGTTTTGAATTTTACACTTTTATTTGAAGTCAAATGGTTGTTTGTTTTTTGGCTTGTTGGCTCTGACCATGAAGCTGTCTGCCACCAGAGGGCCACAACGAGCTGAGAGGGAAATGTCAAAAATGCAGCAGAGAAGTGAAATAACCTCTTTCTTTTTATTATTTAAACATTTATTGTGCCATAAGTAATATATATATATATATATATATTAAAAATCCCCTCCTCTCAGCCCTTGCAGGGGGTGGTATGTGTAATCCTCAAGCTCGGGTCGTCTACCAGAGGCCTGGGAGTCTGAGGGTTCTGTGCAGTATCTTAGCTGTTCTTAGGACTGCACTCTTCTGGACAGAGACCTCTGATGTTTTACCTGGAATCTGCTGGAGACACTCTCCCAGTTTGGGGGTCACAGCCCCCAGTGCTCCAATTACCACTGGCACCACTGTTGCTCTTACTTTCCACATCTTTTCTAGCTCCTCTTTCAGCCCTTGGTATTTCTCAAGCTTCTCGTGTTCCTTCTTCTTGATGTTGCTGTCGCTTGGGATTGCCACATCTATCACCGCAGCCTTCTTCTGCTGTTTGTTGATCAACACAATGTCTGGTTGGTTAGCCATCACCAGTTTGTCAGTCTGGATCTTGAAGTCCCACAGGATCTTAGCTCGGCCATTCTCAGCTACCTTAGGAGGTGTCTTCCATTTTGACCTTGGGACTTCCAGCCCATACTCATGGCAGATGTTCCTGTACACTATGCCAGCTACCTGGTTATGGCGTTCCATGTACGCACTTCCTGCCTGCATCTTACACCCTGCTGTCATGTGCTGTACTGTCTCAGGGGCATCCTTGCACAGTCTGCACCTGGGGTCCTGCCTGGTGTGGTAGACCCCAGCCTCTATTGATCTTGTGCTGCCATGATTAGTGCTTCTGTGCTGTCCTTCAGTCCAGCCTTTTCCAGCCACTGGTAGGATTATCAGCCACTTCTTCTATTCTTCTATTACATGCCGTGCAGCGGCTTGTCTCTCCATGAAGTTTCTTCAACTTCCTTGTCCTCACCTTCGGGTTTCTGCTGCCTGAGGTATTCACTAAGCCCTTCATCTTTGGGGGCCATCTTCCTGATGTACTCCTGGATCTTCGTCGTTTCATCCTGGACAGTGGTCTTGACACTCACTAGCCCTCGCTATGCTTGGGGTGTGTGTGTGTATGTATGTATGTATGTATGTATGTATATATGTATGTGTGTATATATATATGTGTGTGTGTGTGTGTGTGTGTATAAGAAACATATGCTTAGTTTATAAGATCTTGTATAGTTTAGCTCCTCCTCCTTTGTCTGGCGTCATCAACTTTAAATCAACTGCAAACAGAGCTCATCTTGTTTACTTGATTATTATTTTAATTTTTTACCTTTTGTCAATTGAATAATGTATTTTATTGTATTATAACAGTTTGCTATTTTAGGATGCCTAATAACATCTGGCAAGGGGACTGCTGATGAAAACTAGCCTGTGGCTAACTCGGGTACGCTTCCTACATGAATGTTGATCAGTGTACATTGTCCCTTTTGAAATAAACAAATAAATATTTGTCAACACACGTTGTTAGGTAATCATATTATACTGTCGCAAACTTGTAAAACTATCAGATCTAAGAACATGTAGTGATTAAAGATCTTGATGAAACCAGTTTGGCTTACCACAAACTATAAAACTAAAAAACAAACAACTGCCTGTCTACTCATAATGACATAACATGAGGGCGCTGCAGACTTGATGTGTTTGTAAGAGAAATGAAACCAATACTAAATCACAAAATCACTCAGAAATCAAGCTTCCATACTGGATTTTACAAAACGCTTGTTATTTTTGGCCTTTACAATTGAACCACCAGTAAATCTTTCATACCAATGCTGGCACAAATGGATCCATTTTCTTCTAGCATGTCTTTTGTTGAGCTGCCAACCCCAAAACATGAATACATTCACCCTGCGTTGCTCTGGTGGATGAGTTGGATGTGCTCTAATGTGTCTAATGTTCAGTCACAGTAGAGTTCTGACCCAGTACTGGATTACATTTGTAGGAAAAAAGGAACTCAGTAACATAAAAGGTGATGATCTTGCAACAGGATGAAATATTGTTTTATCTGTTAAGGTCAAAGTGAAGAATTCCTGATTGTAAAACATTTTAATCTCTAAAGGGTTGTCAAACAGTGATTAAACTCTGTCTGACTTCAGTCACAAAAGATAAAAAAACATACTGAGAGTCACTGAAAGGTCAAGGGGTTATATACAGTATAGTTAACTGGGACTGGATTGCACTTACAAGAACACCCTACATGTGCCCACACAACAGGAGGCTGCATCAAGCCATAACCCACCTACATGCATCTTTTCTCATAAAGGACAGCTCACAATGTAGGTCACAGGGTTGCATGTGAGTTTCTGCTTTTTTTCTTTTCATGAAAGAGTGCTTAAATGTGCTGTGCTGTTTAGTAAATCAGTGCCTATCATGTGCCCACACAGAAAGGCCTGGGACGACCAAGGTTTAAACCCCGGACCTTCTTGTTGTAAGGCGACAGTGCTAACCACTGCACCTCCGTGCTGCCACCCCACAGCTGGTAGTAAATTTTCATTCATAATTTGCCGCTTGGGGATCGGGGGTTTGCAAGAGCTTACATGGCGAATATCATGCTGCAGTAAAAAAATTTAAACAAAATATTTACAGATAGTGATATTTAATTGTGGGTAGAAATCTACAAGCTGTGTAAAGAGTCTGAAACAGTTTGTGGGAGGGGAGGGAGGGGTCAGCCCCAATCTTTCCTGCTCACCTCAGAGTCCTGAAGGCATCCAGGTCCTGAAAGGATGGACGACTGCAGTCGATACGCTGCAGCCTGCCCTTGTCCCTGGCAGTGGCAGCAGCATACCAGATGGTGATGGACGAGGTGAGGATGGACTCAATGATGGCGGTGTAGAAGTGCACCATCATTGTCTTTGGCAGGCTGATCTTCTTCAGCTGCCGCAGAAAGTACATCCTCTCCTGTGCTGTCTTGATGAGCTGATGTTCAGCTCCCACCTGAGGTCCTGGGAGATGATGGTGCTCAGGTAGTTTTGGCTGCACCAGGTCACCAGATGGTCAATCTGGACACAGGCGGACACATTCCCACCAGAGATGAGCACAATGAGGGTGGTGTCATCTGCAAACTTCAGAAGCTTGACGGACTGGTGACTGGAGGTGCAGCTGTAGTGGAAAGAACGCACATGATGTACATGTCCACATCATACAGTCTATGGTCCACATGTACAACATGTACATAATAATAATAACAATAATGGTAATAATAATTTACTCCTGCATCCTTTGCACTCTGCTCTTGGCACTATTGTCTCAATCTGTTTGTTTTGTTTATAGTGTGAATATATGTGTTCTCTATGCTGTAGCCTGTGTTTGATTTTATTACTATATTATTGTGTTATTTTATTATTGTATAAGTAAGCACATCGTGAGCATTGTACAATCCAGAGTCAATATGGTGGTTGTGGGCTAAAACCACCAGTATTCCTTCATTGCTAAATGCAAGTGCGAAGTATAAGTTTTAGTGCTGGGCAACGATTACAATTTTTTAGCGTGATTAATCCAATTGTTATGCGCAAAATTGAATAATTAATTCTAAAGTACTGTAATGTGCACTGTGTAAATGTACTGCTATATACACAAAAGTGCAATATAAACAAATAAGGTGCTTTTTACCAGCAGTATTCCCTTTACACAGTAGCAATAAAATGTTACTTACTTACAAATCTCAACATAACATTAATGTAATCAAATCAAATATAAAACCAATATTTGCCAGTGCCAGGGCATTACCTTTTATCCAGCTTGTTAAAACAACCAGAGCCACCATCAGAACATCATAACAGGCACCTTCTGAGCAACAGGTTAACCCATAAATCTGTTTTCTTGTTTTTTTTCTGAACAGGTATCAGCAGAAAGATTTTTCTTTTATCAGGGAGCAGCATAAACAGTCTAGGATCAGTTGTAAGTGTCCCTGTTAGAGTGAAGTGGTCCCTCAAACACACGCCCGCCTGTGGCAGAAGTTGATTTGTCTTGAACTTTTTGGTCGTGACGCGCAGCACAAATCATTGGAAGAGCGACTGATCCTCGCTGTTTGTGAGTTTCCAGAATCTATTATTGTTTACTAAAGAGGACATCAACAGGAGGGAATTCACATGGCAGAGCATCCCCGCAAAACTAGATGAAGGTCTATCAGGTTAAGTTATCCATCTATCTATCGTCACCCGCTTATCCTGCGTACAGGGTCGCAGCCTATAATTTTAACTGAAGTTAAATAGGTTACAGCTGTGCCAGTGAGCAACGGACTTTCAAAATAAAAAATAAAAAAATAAAAACTGCGTTAACGTGCGATAAAATAACTGTCGGCGTTAATTAATTAATGCGTTAAGGCGCCCAGCTCTAATCATTTTATATGCTATTTCACATGGCGAGAAACAGCGTGGTGTAAAGTTACAGATATGAAAAGTGAAGCGATGTGATTCAGGAGAGTTTGTCTCATAAATTTATGACTAGGCGTATAATGTCAGAGAATGTTCAATTTTTTTACTTGTAGATTTGTGATTTTTTTTTTTACCATAAATGTACCACTTTTTTTTCTCGGATCATTTTTTTAAACAATGGCCTTTATATGGAGTTGTATCTTTACATCTCAGTCACATCACAAATAAAAGA